GGACCCTTAATACTCCCTTAACTTACCCAAATGTTTAATAAGGATAAATTGTTTTGAATGTCTTCTTATCTTTTCAAGACGAAATTTTCGTTTTCTGTTTTTAATGACGATCATACATACACATTGATCGACATATATCTATAATGAGTTACTGTTTACATAAAACGAAAAGATGCAAAAATAATAATCCTATTTGAGCTTCGTCTTTCGATGTAAAGCGGTTTCTATTTTCTAGAAGCAAAAATTATAAGTAAATAAGACAACACTTTTACGTACCCAATACTGAAAAATCGAAAACATAAAAATTAAAATCTCAAATAATATCACTATTTTTGCGTATAATATCACTAAATGTGCGTTGGAAAGTGCGTCCGTTTGAAACATAGCAGTGTTGACAACCTATAAATTCACAGAGAATTTAATTGTAGAGAATTTAATAAAGAATCTTTTCAGACTAACGAGGGAAGGCCACCAACTGCCTCCTCGCTTTTGAGCTTAAACTCAGTTGACAATAGGTAATCGAACGTGCTGATTTCGAATATCACAATGTTTTTGCCCGCTTTCGATTTAAAGACCCGTTTTTTAAAGATCTTGGTTATTCAATCGAAAAACCATTTCCACTAAAACATTTCCTTGACCTGTCCAAATGGAAGAGCACGCGTCGTCAAACCTACAGAAAACAATTTTCCAAGGTTCTAAGCGAGATTTTGAGCGAGTCTTCGGCGTCTAAAACTTAAAAAAAAGAGGGAAAAACCGCTAATATTCTTACACAATTTGTAAAAGAAAAACTACTGTTTTTCTTTCTGTTTTGTATTGCCACAGCTGACTGCTGTCTGGCGACATCTACCCCGGCCTACAAAAACGTTTGGTTAGCTGTTTACCTCTGTGCATCAGTACATATTTCAGATGATCTCTTTGAATATTTTCTCTTATGTAAAAAATAATTTTCTACTTTTGTCTCTTGTGATTCGCTTATCCATAGAATATCTGACAGCCATTTTTCCGTATTTTGCGCACACACAGTGTTTCTAACATTACGCATACGCCTTTGTTTCAAAGCGTACGGTACGCGAACTAAATTGAAAATACGCTTTGTATCAACCAACAGGAAAAGACAGAACGATAGAATCCATGAATTACCACGCTTATGTACGCGCTGCTCAAAATTCTCATTAGAAACCCTGCGCGCACACACACACACACAGACAACTATTTTGTAAGACCCTAGACTAAAGTCAAGGGAAAAACTTGGCTTCGACAACATATCGTTTCGTTCTGGTTCAGTTGTACTAGAAAAATTTAAGTGATCTGATCAGCCGTGAGAATTCTATAAGCAAGAAATACATTTATTGTTCGTTCCGGCAGGCAAATGGTCAAAAGAGAAACTCTCCTTCTACGGAGGGTGTTTGGCAACTTTGTTTTGACGCTTGCACCCATTTCAAGCTATCTGGACTCCCACTGTTTGTTAAACTCTTTCAGAACACTTTCATTTATCGTTTTGCAGATACGAAAATAAAAAATCATAACAATTATCAGGAGCTTCTTTCTACATCAGAATAAGAAGTGGTTATTTTCTGCTTCTCGTCTGCTTAGTGAATTGCTATCTTCTTGTGATTTTCTTACATATGAAGAAAGAAAATTTAAAATCTGAACTGAGCTAGACGAAAATTTTTCAAAAAATCTTTTTTGATAATCAAGCGCATGGCCCATCAGTATGATCTTTAGAGTCAGTGCATTATATAGCTCCAAAGATGTAAATCTTCGGGTAGTTTCAGTACTTTTCATAACTGAACAGATTTCGGACTGAATCTATCCTAAAACACAGACTTCATCGTGAAAACTGGTGGCTGAGTCAAGTGAGAATAGAAAGTATATAAAAAAACAAAGAAAAGAAAGTAGAATTTTGTCATGTGCCAAACAATCGTTCAGCCAATTGTTAGAAGAAAAAAGTGCTTCCCAATCGGGGAATCGAATCCCGGCCGCCGCCGTGAAAGGGCGGAATCCTAACCACTAGACCAATTGGGATGACATACTAGTATTATTACTGTACGATCGGTAGAGTAAAAACAGACTTGAAGTTTTTTGAGAGGTATCGTTTTTCAACTCTTGTCTTTATATCTGTCAAGGATAATGATGTACATAGTTTATTAAGTAATATAATATATTAAAGATCAAGTCGAGTAAACTATATGATACCAAACATTTTAGAAAATTGTAATTTTCTGATTTTTTTTGAAGTCATCGATTCTGTCTCTCCTATAGTTTAGATTGTGTAGATGGCGAAAAAAGGTTAGTAGGTTCTTCCAAATAGGCGCGCAGTAGATTGTCGAAACTGAGAAAACAGACAAATGACCTCTGAAAATTGTACCATGAAAGCTCTTTAGCAAAATCAAATGTCAATCAATCTTATTTCATTTCATAACGCTTGAAAAGGCGATTGACTCATCCCAGGCATTATTTTCTCCCTCTTTCCTATGAGGTTTTTTCATTATGTTAATAACGCGTTAAAGTGCTCGATTTAACTTGGTCTAGACTTAAGGCAGGCTCAGGTGTATAAAATTAACATGTAGGTGTACAAAACGAAGAGTTAAGTCCAGCACTTAAGAATTTTTATGAAACATCCTCCAGAATGTTTTACAACGTACTAAAAATATATTCTGTTGCAACACCTTTCGATAGTTTAATCTCTTTTCAACTAGATTTCATCATGTTTTACTCAGTATTTTCTTCGAGAACGTGAAGCAATTAGAGATTTTCTTCCGAAGCACCTTCTTCAAAGCATACAGCAATTTATTTTCTTTGTATTGTGCTCCATTTCATTTCCGCATCATAAAGTTGAACTATTATTAATTTTCTGATCTAAAGTGTGATATTGGTTTTGCCAGTGAAAAGTTTCTCAGATGTATTTCTTTAAGTATTTGATCCGTGTATTTTTCAGTTCTGATGTGAAACGTTACTGTCATTTGATTTCAGAATAGAAGTGTGAGGGACTGTTTGCGTTCCACCCAGTAGGGTCTGATTTGTGAACATCTGCAATTTACATAATATATCTAGATGTATATCTAGATGTTCAGATATTCTAATATTCAAGCTAGATATTTAGATATTCAGATGTTCTAGAAATGTGGAAAAGGGAAGGTGGGGGTGGCAGGGGCAGATGAGAGTGAGGCGCTCCCTGATATTCGCCACCCTCAAAGAAAAGAGGAAGATATCTGAACATCTACATATTATGTAAATTGCAGATGTTCACAAATCAGACCGGTCTCGTTCTACCTGTGAGTTTTGCCATATGTGAAGAAAACATTCACCCAGTAAATGTGGATCTGTAGATACTTGAAACTCGGAGCAGTTCGTTAATAGAGCCAGCCAGTCTAGTATCCTGTGATTGACGTGCTCTGGCCTTGCCGCTATACTCTGTACGTCAAACAGGATCGAAATGATCGTCGCTACATTTCGAAAGACTCAAACGGCAAAGCGATCTTACACTGAGGGAACTCAGAATTTGTGATAATTCAAAATTGGTGTTCATTTCTCTGTGCACTGCGTTAAAAAATGAGAAATGACTAATTGACTTGTGTTATATATCTATTATATCGCTAAAAGAGAACGAAGGATAAACACAGTGGACCACAATATACGCACACTGTCTGTCTGTTTTTCTTCTTCTTTCGACGGATGGGCGAATTAAACAAACATTACGTCGTTACAGACTGAAAATATGAAGTCAGTGCGGTCCTACCTTCGTGCAAGGATTGATTGATTTTGTACTTTCATACTTTAACAAACAGGATGATATGGGCATTTATATTCTCATTTTCGTTCTGTTTTAACAAAATGCCTAAATCAGGCCAGAGAAAGACAAAGAATGGTTAGTTTGAAAAATTTTCTCAGGATCTTGCCGCAAATTAGATGCGATCTTAATATAATCCTTCCATGATTTCGTCACACTTTTGAAGCAGAAACTGGAGCGGCTTTTTCAAAGACTTTTCGTCCGCTGACCTTGTTGCCGTTCTTATCTCGTTATTACGCAATTTGTCTTTAATTTCATGCCAAGGGTTTTCCTAATTTCTCTTTCTTGTTTTACGACTTTTTATCTCGTTGCACTCGTCAAAGTACGTTAGATAACACGTTATATTAGTTACAAAGAAATAATGTGCTACAACGTAAGAAATAAGATATCCCGTTAAAGTGCGCTATTTGAACCATTTAATGTCGTACAACGGAACAGAATCTTTTAATGCGTTACAACGGTATAAAATCTGTGGTTCATTACAACGCTTGAGCAAGAGTTGCGCAGGACTTGTGCAAAAACAGAAAGAGTTGGGAAAACGGAAAGATGAAACAAGTTGATGAGCAAGAACTGAATTGCGCAAGGATGGTACAAGAACATAATCTTATGAGCTGCCGGGGACGACAGGGCATAACAATACGATTCATGAAAATAACTGATAACAACTGGGTAGTCATTTATCTTAACGTAGTATCATGCTATAAATTTTATTTATTTTGTATCAACTATACCTGTCTGTGTCCATCATTGTCTGCCCTGTTGGTTAATAGTTAGTTTATGGAAAGTAGCTGATCACTAAATCGTCGTGTCAGAGCAGTTTTGCTTTGAAGAACCATCAAATATCTTTTACATTGGAATTACCATGGTCTGAAGTGGTCGCCGTTTTTAGTGTGCACAACTATCACATTCTTAACTAAATAATTAGATCTAGGGATTCAAACAATTTTTGTGTTTAGTATAAATATTTATAGACTAATATTGAACAAAAACTCTCAACATGACATATAGAATTGAATCCTTATTCACTTGTTTTTAACTTTCTTTTCGTTTTGTCTCTTCTACCTACAATAAGATATACCTTTTTCTTCTAACGTATATTGTTATGAAATTTTTTATCGTTACAAACATGAAAATATACAAAGTTCGAGCTAACGTGAATACAAAATCATTTTCTATTTTATGTAAACTCAATTCTGTTTATTTATTTCAGATGCAGTCTTCAATCCAAAGCCTTATAAACCAAGATGAAGATGACGCAGACGCACTATCGTGGTCTGTGTTTCGTAAAATGTTAGTCTTTATATTATTATTAATAGTTGCACCATTAGGTTCTTATTATGCATCAAAACAATTGTTATTCGATGGTTTTTTTGAAATGTCAAATTCTAACAGCGATTATTATGCAGTATTTGTGACTGTTGTTGTGATACATATCTTACTCATTGGCTTTTTTATTCTTGCATTTCGTGGATCACCCAAAAAGAAATTACATTGAGACAATTCATTCGAACAATAGTTTCTTCATGCTGTCACATACTGCCATGTACAGTTTTGTTTTTGAAATAAAAATGTTTATTATTTATGCTTCAATTGAATGCATATAGATTCATTGATGTTCTATTATCACAAACTCGGATTAAGAGAAATATTAGACATTAAATAACACTATAATGAATAGTTCAGAAATAATGAGTCTTTCAGTATTTTGCTTATAACGTTTTTGTCTCGTATTTTAGAAACTCAATTTTCTTTTAGAAGATGGGTTATTGGATTCTTTAAAAAATAAATATTGAACATTTTTTTATATACTTTAAAAGTAAAAAACACATGAAAGAAACACTGCGAAGCTTCTATCTCTATTACTTTTCAACCAAAAAAGCAATGCGTCTTACTTTTCGTGTGTAAAGATATTTTTATTGTAGTGGAAAGGCCTAGTGTCGATGGTTGGTATTGTCAATTGTATTGTAAGTTTAATTAATCAATATATTAGATGAGCAGTTTATCATCGTCATAATTACAGAACAATACTGTTCCTCGACGAGAGGTATCTTGACTGAAGTGAGAGTTATCATACTCGTTAATCAACATTTCGATGTCAAATCTTTTATCGATTTAACAGTGCAGCTATTATAGCAGTAAACAGCGATTAGAAGAGCAACCAACTATAATTCGTTTGATAAATTTTGTATCGGTAGAAAAGGTGGCTCTAGTTTGAATGCTCTAGGTTTTTTTTTGCGTAACTTCTCTGAATTCCTCTGAAAGAGGAACAACAAGGAGTGAAAGTTTGTATAGGGAGATTATATTGGAAATCTGCAAGTTTTATTCATCTCATACCCTCTAACGCTTGCGGACGATACTGCCACGGACAATACTGAATATACATTGTATATGCGGACAAACTAACGATGACACATTTGAGCGAGTAAATGTAAACGTGAACACTCGAGGCATGGGTTTTATATAGCTCCACCTTAGTCCTTCACGTTTGAATGGAGGAGTTACACTTTAGACCCAAGGTCTGTGCTGATAAATTTTTTTATTAACATCAGCTCGTATTAAACATTATCGTTATCATAAGAGATATAGCATCTGTTTATCAAAAACATATTATTAACATTTATATAAAATATAACAAAAAAATAGCAAAAAGACGAGAGCGATTCGATTTTTATTGGTTAGTTTGTGCTCGATCCAATAAAAAATATGTTCTCATGTTACCTTTTCCCTGAAAAACGGAACAATAATGAGTGAATAATATTTGGAGTTTTCAAAATTTAAGACAAACCTTGATAGAAATCTCTCCTCGGTCTTCAAATATATAATCCTGTTTCATCTCAATATGGTTGTATGTCGTTTCACTCAAATGGATCTTTTCAGCTAAAAAATATAAATACAAATACTGTCTAAATATATGCATAGTGAATATTAGTTATTGACTTACGCAATCCTGACGATTCCATTCTGCTCGCCACATTAATAGTATCACCAAACAAACAGTATCTTGGCATTTTTGATCCGATAACAGCTGCACAAGCTGGTCCTGAAGATGAAAAACAAGTAAACAAAATGATCGATTATGTATAGATTAAAATATTTATACCCGTATGGATTCCAATTCTTAGTTTTAATTCTACAAAGGTTTTTGGTACTCGAACTTTATGTTTACTTTTTAAAATGGCAAGGGCCATATTTGATATTTCATTTGCATGCTAAAAATGAATAAAAGATTGAAGTACAAACATTTAACACGAAAAGTAATTATACTTTATTGCCATTTCGTTCGGGTGCACCACTTGCCACCATATATGCATCACCTGAAAAAAGTATAAAATTTTCTGATTAAAAAGGGATAGTTATTTATTTTTGACAGTTTATACTAAACGAAATCCAATATTTTTTGTGAATATCAAGTGTAAGAGATCAATAGTAAAGGAAAAAATTTTATTATGTGATTGTAAAGAGAGTTTATAATTTAATTTACATCTGAAGAAATACGACACTTTTTCCTTTTGATTTTGAATGAAAAATATCGTATAATTATCTTCCATTTTTTATTGATAGAAATGTACTCATTATATTATCAATTTCTTCCTTCAACAATGAGAATAATAAAACTTTGATTATTAGCCGTATATTCTTTCGTTCTTGATGCAAAAAGAAAAAAATGACGAAAAATCACTAAATGACTTTCTTGAACTGAATAACAAAAAATTTTAAGTTAAGTTGTTCATAGGTAATTGTCGGTATCGGTACTTGTGTAGTACCGCACAGTGTGCATCCAGGCCGGCTTTTGATGAAAAAATGAAAGTTGATTTTTCAGTAATTTTAAGGATGATTAATATACTTTGAAACATGTTCTATTTAATGGCAAAAAGTTTTATGTCCTAAAACTTATTTAAGCTGGGAAAATCCTATGCACAAAAACACACTAAAAACCCGTGTCTATCGGAAAATCGGATTATACGCAAAAATTTTAAAAATCAAACATAGCTATTGGGCGAACAAACATATATTCGGAATCAGCATCAAGTGCGCTATCGATTGGTAAAAAACTTTTCTATTTTTGGGCTTTCTAAATTGGAGAAAAAAATAAAACATTTTTCTAGCGCGTTTCCCAGGAGGTGTGTTTGATGCAGTGCGTGCGCCAAGTTTAGCGAAGCTCCAATTTTGATGAAATTTTCAGGGAATGCTGTCTTATATATGATATGTCAACACAGTTAGCACCGACGCTTCTGGGCCGAATGGTAGGTTTTTCAAAAACGTCCTAAAAGCCTTGATTTTCACGGTCGATTCCTCTTTTTCAGACACCAAAGCATTTCCATTGAAAACTAATGGCATATTCGGAATCAGCGTGTGAAAGTGCATCGGATGATGTATATGACACAATATATTTTCTAACAAAAACATTTTCTTGAAAAAATGTAAGTGAGGGTCCCCTCAGGTGTTTTTCGTCGAAAAAATTTTTTTTTCAAAAAATGCTTTTTTTTCTTAAAGGTGGTTTTTGAAGTGATATACAGCCACTTTTGAGCAAAAGAAACCCGTTTTTGAGCACGAAAGTTACATGACCGCCTGCTATGCAAAAAATGCACACTGTGTACCGGTACCAACCATTGCAACCGTACCGAAAGTATCGAAGTTTTTTCATTATCTAAATCTATTTTTGAACTCACAAGAAGCTTTTTCCTCCTTAAATCGCGAAGACTCTCGTCCCTTCATTTTTCACGGCATTTTTAGTCCTCTCTTTGTCTATCTTATTGTTGAAATAGTACCAGTTTTATTGTGAAATACAGATGTTATCTTATCACTTTACTTTACCTCGCATATACCTTGTTATTCAGTAATGTTAAAGAAGAAGATAAACAGATTTCTATTCTGCTTGTGTCAGCTGTTCGGTATATGACCATTATGAATACGCGTACAAGAAAGTATATACCAGAGCTCCGTATGGACTCAAATTTTTGAGTCCAGTCCAGTCCGAGTCCATGAAATCCAAAAAATCTGAGTCCAGTCCAGTCCATGTGGACTGGACTGGACTATGGACTCAGTCCAGTCCATACGGAGCTCTGGTACATACTACATGCCAACTGCGCTCTGCGAAGATTGGAAGCCGACTGAGTGAACGTCTGTGAGAAGCAAGTAAGACAGAAACGAAATTGTGAATATTAGGAAGAGAATAAGAATCTTAATAAGTCTCTCTACTGCATCATGCTATTGACGGCAAGCATTCTCTATCTCTATGTATAACATTCCCTTCTTCTCTTTCACACTATAGTTAATCACGTGTTAATTATCTCGATCGTGGAAAGTTTCTAAGTCACAACTTTTGAGTGACCCTGTTTAGGGCCTATACTTGAGAAAACTAAAAAAGGTAACGCAAAACAACCTCGGATGTGTCGTATTCAGTGTGAGTTTTATATTCTCTATTTTGTCCCAGCTTTCTATGACTTGAAATTACCGAGATCGACGGGCAGAAAAACGTGCTCGAGGTGTAGAGAAAGAAAGAAAGAAAGACTAGAGACCAACTACCTTGTGGGAAGATTGGAAAGTCGACTGAGTGAAACAGTAAACAGACGAAATTAGAACATCCACAAACTCGTAACAGTCTGACTATTTTTCAAGAAGAATTCCTATATTCCTAGATCAGCTGATTCATTATCGTTTCGTATGTTCTACTATACTATAACTTTCATTATATCCAGTGCTGTAGCATATATTCACTATGAAATGAATCACGTGACAATTAATTATCTCATAGGAGAAACGATGGAGTTGTCTCAAAAATATACTCATTTTGTGACACTAAATATACGATAACTAAAGCAAATATTCGAGAGCTAACTTCAGATGTGTCATCTACTCTCCCTGCACTTCGGAATCATCTTTTCCCCAAACCTATACGATCAGAGATAACTGAGAACGAATGTCTGACTCGAACAAGAAAAACAGTATAGAAAGAAAGAACTAGATGCCAACTGTCCTACGAGTAGATTGGAAACCCGACCAAATGAAAAGTATCTTAGAAATACTTTAGACACCGTTTGAATCCCTTAAATACGAGCAGAACACTGCAGTGCTCTAGTGGTAAACATATGATGCATTCTGTCGGTAATAATGTTTCAGACTATGAATGCATCAAACTATACAGAAGTATAGTAGACTGATAAGTAACATGTGACTACTTAATGAATCACTCTACACTATTCATACTGAATGTATCTGAAGTGTCACGTGACAATTAATTATCTCATAGAAAAGTTATTGAAAATATGTTCAATTTTTGAGACTCACTACCTAATAATTAAAACATATATAGAAAATAACTTCAGCTTTTCATCTACTTCTCTTGCGGTCTCGAGTGACCTTTTCTCCAAATCTGTACGAGTGGTGATAGCTAAGGACGAGTGGCTGACTCGAAGCAGAAAGTAGGATGTGGAAGAAAGAAGAAAGAACTAGAGACCAACTACCCTTCGGGCAGATTGGAAAGTCGACCGAGTGGAACGGTAAACAGACGAAATAACAACATCCAGAAAGTCATAACTGTCTATGTATCTTCTACGGCATATTATTCATATTCAGATAACAGTTGATTCATTATCGTATTATATATTCTGCTAGAGTTTTTATCGTAACAAAACACTGTACCATAAATTCGCTATGAAACGAATCATGTGACCATTAATTATTTCATAGGAGAAACGATAAAGTTTTCTAAGAAAGTACTTTTATGGTACTAATTACAGGATTTGTAAAGCATATATCCGAAAACTAACTTCAGATGTGTCATCTACGACTCCTGCACGTTCGAATCATGTTTTCCCAAAATCGGTACGATCAGAGATACCCGAGAACGAGTGTCTGACTCGAACACGAAAATACAGTGTGAAAAGAAGAAAGAATATAGCTAGGCAACGCTTGAAGTTAAACAGAATAAGTCTCCTTGAATTTCACTCAGTCGACTTAATAAGAAACTACAGCTTGCAGCTGAACCTAGAAAAAAACAAATAGTTGATGCGATTCAGTATCAGCTGTCAAACATTGATAGAGACATTAGCGGTACCGAAAGTATCGAACTTTTCGGTACTTTCCCTGGTACCGAACCGAAATTTTCGGTACTGTGCGAAAACAGTACTAATACCAAAGTACCGACAATTCTCTAGTTGTGCAGAACAAATGTTTTTCTCTAAAATGCTGATACTATCTGCTATAAGGAAAAAATTTATTTTCATACATCATATAACGGATCAATATGGATAAAAATATATGGTGTTATAAATCCATTAGTATAGCTCACCAAAAGGTCATCATTACACGATAACAATGTTATCTATAGAAAAAAAAATTCGATTACAGAGAAATTTTTAGCAGTTGTTTTTAGAATTGTCGACGAAAAACAAGAGTGTTGATAGAGTACAGACACTGATTTCAAGACTACCTGACAGTGTACACAAATGAGAAAATAATAACAGAATGATAATAAATCTATCTAAACTCGCTAAACATTTCTGACATTCATGTCATTTTGAATTTTCAATAACATTTTTCGAACAGCTTGGACAATCAAATCGATAGAATCTGTCTGTCAGTTATATGTCATTTTATTCATGCGTGCAAAAGCCACATACTACTGCCAAACAATCTTAAGCATAAAAATATTTTTTTGTTATTATCTTTCTAGGTACATATTTTGGGTTTTCCTGTTTATCTCTGATATAAGGTTTATGATACTTACCAATAGTTTCTACTTTATATACATCAAATTTTTCTAATAACGAATCGAATACTGAATATAGTCTGTTTAACATATCACATGTCTCAGTTGGACTACACATGGAAGCTATTGATGTAAAACCGACAATGTCTGAAAAATATATTGTAACACAATCGTAATATTCTGCTGGCGCTTTCTTTCCATTGATCAATTGTTTGGCAACGGTTGGTGGTAATATTTGATGTAACAATTTTTCTGTTAAAGTTTTTTCTTTTTCTAATTCATAAGTTTTTGTTTCTAATATTTGTGAATGTTTTCTCGCTTTCTTGTATATTCGAATTAAACATATACCGAGAATAATTGTAACAAATACAAAAATAAAAATTAAAAATAATTTCAATAAGCATAATCGTGGATGTTTGGAGCAAATATATATCATAGAATCTAACATAGAATCGGTATGATTTAGAGGATGAGGATTTACATGAAGATAAATAGTTGAAAAATGATTTAAATGAGTTTTATACGGTACATTATGTTTGATTAGTTGTCTAATACCTAAAAAAACTTGTTTAAGATCAAAGGTTTTTATTGTTTGTTCTTGAAGATAATTCAATATTGACTGCAGTTGTACAGTATGTAATTTATATAAAAATTGAGTAGTTTGTGCGGGACAAAATAATTTGAGATAATGAAAAAATTCGGTAATGATAGTATAATTAGAAATTGAAATATTTGACGAAATTTGGAATGTAAGAATTGCAAAATCATTAAAATAAATTATATCATTTGTATTGTTGTACACTTTTTCGTGTTTCTAGAATAACATATACAAATAATTCAGTTGAAAATTTCCTCTTGTTGCCGAATTTTAGTTGCCGTATAGGGAAGTTTGGCTAGACAAGTGGACATATGCTATAGAAGCAATGCAAAAGCCTAGAAACATTGTTTTATAGGTTTCTATATATGCTTGTTTTAGTGGCGAGATTTACAGAGTTCAAAGATGTATTTTCCGGGTTTTCTAGAGATCCGGACCTCCGGAAGACCTATATAAGGATAGTTTTGAACTTTGTAAACCACACCATTGGAATGAACCTACATACAAACCTATAAAAACAATGTTTCTAGGCTTTTGCGCGGCTGCCGGAATAAATATAAAAATGTCTAGTCAAAATTTGGCGCAGTAATACTTCACCTCTAGGATTCCGTAAGATCGAAAAATTTTCTACAGAAAAAACTTAGAAATTATGCATCATTTGATGCAGTCTTTTGCGCTGATTCTGAATATCAAATTATTTTTTAATAAAAATGTTTCTGAGCTGAAAAAAAAATAGTTTTTACCTAAAAAACCAAGGTTTTTGGAAAACCTATAAGTCAGGTCAGAGTGTTTGCGTTAATAGTGTACATATATCATATGAAGACGAAGATCTTGAGAAAGCTTCATCGAGTTTGGATCATGGCTAAGCATGACGCACGCTGAACACAGCTGTCGGAAAACACTTAGCGCAAATAGAAAAATTATTTTTTCCGTCATTAAAGGCCCAAAACAAAAAGTTTTTTTACGAATCGATAGAGCATGAAATCTAGTTTCAGAATATATATGGTTTGTTTAACACTAGAACGCCCGTAGCGGTCATTTTGACCGTTTTGTGATTTTTATCCTTAATAAAACAAACTGCATACAATTTATTTAAAAATAAATTATGTTATAACTTTTAATTTGTCCTACAAAAATTAGTTTTTGCAGAATTTTTAATTCATTTTTGAATTCAGAACCATTTTTAAGTATAAAATTTTTAAAAAAACCAGTAACGGTCAAAATGACCGCTTTGGGCGTTCTAGGTCATAAAATTTCAGGGCGTTCTAGTGTTAAGAACACTTCGCACAATCCATAAAAAATACCTTCAGTTCACTCTACGTTTTTCGACCTAATTTTTATGCTGCTATTTTTCAGTCAGATACGATAGCTGAAATGGTAGTTTTTATGCCATTAAATAGGCCGTTAGTCGAAGTATATTTGACATTATTCAAAACTTTAAAAAACGCACTTTCATTTTTCCACCTAATGTCTACATGATCGCCCAGCGTGATAAGTAGTTGCTCTCGTCTTCAAACACGATACCCGAAGTTTTATAGGTTAGAGACTATTGCAAAAAGTTAGCTCTCTGACATGACTCTGACACGATTGTTGATGGTCTCAATTAAAAAGAAGTCTCTTAGGCTAGACCTCCTGACTGACGTAGAATTCGGACTGTAAGTCCAGTACGCAACGAGTACTATCCTGTCAACATCAACACTATTATTGAAAGAGCAACTAAAATAGTACGATGCATCCATTTTTCTCTGTCTATCGGGGGATCGAAAGTTCTATATTACTCAAACTTCAATTCTATTCTTCTTCATCATTCGTGGCAACTAGTTCTACAAAAAAACCACAGCTCACTTGTTTTTGAAGGTGCCAGAATTGTTCACTAGCATTTACGGTAATATTAAAAACACATATTTTCAATTGATTGAATGAACCATATAAGGCAACATTTGTTGTTGGTTGTTTTTCATTGTTGTTTGCCTCGTCCATGTAAATTAGATCGAGAAATAATACAAATATTAATAAACCTGTTGTAAATAACATAAATATAAGAAGAAATATAATTTCACGGCAAAAATTTCTTTTAGTTAATACTGCTCGTCTGGAACCATTCGATGATGACGATAGACCGGCATGAGACTGACGTTGGCGTTTTCTTAATGAACTGCGCATCAAATAAAAGCGTCGAAAAAGTGGAAAAGCCACATCTCTCATTGATGATGATCGTGTCGAGGCAGCAGTGGTTGTTGCTGTTCCTCGTTGAAATTTGTAATCACCAAAACGATAATGTGTTAGAAGGGACTTTGACCATTGTTTAACCCTCTTGTTATGATTGCCATTTGCCATTATATGGTCATTAGAACTGCAGCGGTTCAATAAATTTCTGTTTTCCATGTGGTATGTCAAAAACAGGGTATTATCGTTTCGAGTTATGAGAAATATCTCATTACCTTTTTATCAAATACAATTTTTACCAGAAGGACGTTTTTATGATGAATATTCTGCAAAGAGAGATAAAGGCATTACTTTGCAAGATGTTTATGTAACAGAATAATTTATCATCAACAGCTACAAAAAACTTTTTTTTCCTTTTCTCTTTATAATGATATAATTATACAATACTCGACCTCACGTTTTCTCTGTATGCGCTAACTTCTCGAACTCTGTGAACAATAACTACAATAATTTTCAGAATATTATGCTACTTACTAATTTTCGAATAATGTTTGAACAATAGGAGAGGGAAAACTGACGTTTGCTTCATTTTGTGTCCAAGGCTCAAAGCCACATACTGGTAGAGAGAGATCTTTACTTCATCTTCCTCTAGAAAAGTAGATTGCAGTACCAAATTACAAACTTCAGAGATGCTTTTGGTACTTCTCTACGTAGGTTTCTGAAAAACTTCATTCCTGAAGATGAAGATTTTTGAATTTGTTGACTTTTATTAGACAGAACTCATAATTTTTATCCAAAACTCGTTTTTAGTAGATTTTATCACTTCGAGTCAAAAGCAATCATTATGACCAGACTCAGCACGGTTGATAGCGTACGTTCTATTCATCCCTGAGGCCACAGAATAATAAGTAAAAAGGGTTCTTAAGTTTCTATAAACAACTGTGCCGCTCAACAGCAAAGTTAGATGGAAGTCTCAGATTCAGTCCAAATTGTTGAGTAGTCTTTTGATCTGAATTAACTTCTCGAAATGAAAATTCGCAACATTTTTTGACACCGCAACCTTTTCTCTCAAAGAGAAGTATGCCACGCTACTTTCAGGTGATGATTTGTAGCTGCTTTTTCTATGAGTCTGTGGTCTTGAGTCTTGGCTACAAAATGAAGAAAATGGAAGGTCCTTATCTTCTATTGTTCAAACATTATTTGAAAACTAGCAAGTAGCATTATATTTCAAAAGAATAGTATTAATAGGTCAAACATATAGGCTATACATACGAGATGATCTTTCTCTTCAAGATAAAATGACATATTTATTTTTGTTAGAATATGCGGTTGAATATAATTGTCAACATCATCTTCTTTCTGGCGTCATTCATATTCTTACTTATCCTTTATTTATATATGTATATATCTGCAGATTATATATCTACTAGCAATTATGGATAAACAGTAAATGAAATCACGATAGCTATCTATCTATAGAATAAAAACAGCTCTCTTTTCCATAAAATAGTTAGGTGCTAACACAACATATTTCATCGAAAGAAAAATATGATGTTTTGCTCGAGAATGTTGACAAAAATATTTTTTTATATGACGCTCTGTCTGAAAATATACACGAATTGAATATCCCGTTTATGTTACATTACCCAGTTATTAGTAGAGTAAAAGGTTATCAATTACCTAAATAAGCAATATCTTACGAGTTACTAATTACTTTAGGCACGATGGCTATTTTAACTTTTGTTTTTCTATTAATAGTAAAACAAAATCATAATCGTATCCGATGTCTCTACGCATCGGTTTGTACACTGTAAGAAAACAAATGCCTCAGTGCACTGTTTTGGGCGATGAAATGGGACACTTTTCATAGGTGGAATGAGGAAGAATATCCCGCCTTGTGACTATCGTTATCGGGATGCTATCATGGTAGTTTCAATTGCCCGATATCTTCCCAGCAGTTAACAAGGTTCTGAAATAGTCACCCATCTTGTTATTAGTCATCAACTGCAGCCAGAAGGCAAGCCTGACGCAGAGTTCTTTCGCCCAATTATTTGAGCTTCCCATATACAATTCACTAACCATGCACTAAATTTCCGAGAACCGCAAGGACTAGCCGGAGAAGCTGTATTGTACGTCACAACATAGTGAGTATGCTATCGGACGAGTGATCCGAGGCACTAAGACATAAGTAACTTGTCCAAGATTATTACATGACGTTTTAAGAGCCGGCGTTCGATTACAGTACCTTTGAAGTACGTGACGAACAACATAATCTCCAAGCCGTGCTGCTCTTCTTTTCAAAGTGTCGCATTCTTCGTTCCACCCAAAAGTGCGCTGGGATGTTCGTTTCTATATTTTTACAGTGTATATCTCCAATAAGCGCTAAGTGAGCAAAACAATAAAATAACTTCAAATGACGTTTATAGAGGAGAAATAAAAACAGTTGTGCAGAGAGAAATAACTGTGAGATACTAACATGGGCTGACTCTATGGGTAAAAACAAATTTTACTTTTTCTCCATATCCAAAACTGCGAGACAATAAATACTACTACCGTGTATAGAAAATTAAGACCAAATACAGTTCTAAATAAATAACAGAACAAAGAGTATAGTACTGCTACGAAGAACATTTTAGATTAATTAAAATCCACTTGAACTTTTTATTTCAAGCTTTTGATGAGTACTCTCATCACCATCAGAAAACAATATGATCCCTAATGATGGTGAGAGCACCCATCGAAAGCTTGAAACAAAAAGTTCAAGTAGATTTTAATTAATCTAAAATGTTTTTCCTAGCAGTATACTCTATATTCCGCTAGCGTGTTGATATTTGCAAAAAAAATAACGATGAGTTACATGTGACCGGGACTTTATGACATCGGCACAAAGAAAGTTTGTTTCTCACTACTTTATGTGGTCAAAAATAACCATAACAAGACAAGAGAAAATATGTCCAATTCGTTTGTCCTTACGAAAAACTAAAGTTCTTTTAACGAGATAGTGAATAAGTTGTTAATAAATCTATTTTTAACGATATATAAAATTGAAACCGATCCAATTCTTGCGTAGAAAAGAAATAGATTACAATTTTATATTGTTTTATCTCTACAAATATTTTGACTAACAAGATCAATTTTCATTTCGAGGGCACTTTTCAACTGAAATAAATAATCAATCCACAATTGCAATTGATAAAAAGTATTTACTGGTAGAAAGATGGTTGCTAACAAAGATCTTTGTAAAAAAACGCCATTTGATTTCAAATTAAAAAATTTATTACAGATGTAGTAGAGAGCCGAGAAAACTATTATGAAATTGTATAGCATTTGAATTTCACTTCGAAAATATTTCATTCTTTCTGTTTTTACACATGACTTATCAATTAATGTTTCCTAGTTACCTAACAAAAAACCTGTTCCTAGTAAATAATCGATGAATGGACATTTGTAAAATATATTTCAAAACCTATTAATAATACAAAAATATTGGTGATACATTTTTTTTTTTCACATTCTTCAGATGAATTGCATGTCACACCCGTCTAAATTATAAAATCATTAGTTTTTAAGTCATTCTTGTGCGTTATACTTTATTTTTTACGATATAAAGAATTAGTTATGCAATCAGCTAGACAATATATTCTTAAAAACTTTCTTCGGATACTTCGTACAAATATGATAATATTCGTCTTTCCAGGTCAAATAATCCTACCGTGGGATCCTACAAATCTCACAAGATCCTACTTTACAGTAGTGGCCAAAATTATAGGTTCGCCCCGGTTGTTTGGTTTTCTGCTTATTTTTCTCCATAACTAGAAGTCATTCTCTGATCCGTTTTACTCTAGGATATAGATTTTGATGTCCTCTTTCAGA